ACTGTTATTGATCCCCTGTGTCCCCAGCTGGCTGTGTACTGTTATTGATCCCCTGTGTCCCCAGCTGGTTGTGCACTGTTATTGATCCCCTGTGTCCCCAGCTGACTGCTGTGCACTGTTATTGATCCCATGTGTCCCCAGCTGGCTGTGCACTGTTATTGATCCCCTGTGTCCCCAGCTGGCTGTGCTGTGCACTGTTATTGATCCCCTGTGTCCCCAGCTGGCTGTGCACTGTTATTGATCCCCTGTGTCCCCAGTTGGCTGTGCTGTGCACTGTTATTCATCCCCTGTGTCCCCAGCTGGCTGTGCACTGTTATTGATCCCCTGTGTCCCCAGCTGGCTGTGCACTGTTATTGATCCCCTGTGTCCCCAGCTGGCTGTGCACTGTTATTGATCCCCTGTGTCACCAGCTGGCTGTGCTGTGCACTGTTATTGATCCCCTGTGTCCCCAGCTGGCTGTGCACTGTGTGATCCCACAATGTCCCCAGCTTGGCTGTGTGCACCTGGTGTGATCCCCCTGTGTCCCTAGCTGGCTGTGCACTGTTATTGATCCCAGGTGTCCCCAACTGGCTGTGCTGTGCACTGTTATTGATCCCCTGTGTCCCCAGCTGGCGGTGCACTGTTATTGATCCCCTGTGTCCCCAGCTGGCTGTGCACTGTTATTGATCCCCTGTGTCCCCAATACACACCCTGTATGCACTGTTATTGATCCCCTGTGTCCCTCAATATACACCCTGTATGCACTGTTATTGACCCCCTGTGTCCCCAATACACACCCTGTATGCACTGTTATTGACCCCCTGTGTCCCCAATACACACCCTGTATGCACTGTTATAGATCACCTGTGCACCCCAATACACACCCTGTATTCACTGTTATTGATCCCCTGTCCCCCCCAATACACACCCTGTATTCACTGTTATAAATCCCCTGTCCCCCCCAATACACTCCCTGTATGCACTGTTATTGATCCCCTTTGTCCCCAATACACACCATGTATGCACTGTTATTGATTCCCTGTGTCCCCAATACACACCCTGTATGCACTGTTATTGATCCCGTGCCCCCCAATACACACCATGTATGCACTGTTATTGATCCCCTGTGTCCCCAATACACACCATGTATGCACTGTTATTGATCCCGTGCCCCCCAATACACACCCTGTATGCACTGTTATTGATCCCCTGTGTTCCCAATACACACCCTGTATGCACTGTTATTGATCCCCTGTGTCCCCAGCTGGCTGTGTTGTGCACTGTTATTGATCCCCTGTGTCCCCAGCTGGATGTGCTGTGCACTGTTATTGATCCCCTGTGTCCCCAGCTGGCTGTGCACTGTTATTGATCCCCTGTGTCCCCAGCTGGCTGTGCACTGTTATTGATCCCCTGTGTCCCTAGCTGGTTGTGCACTGTTATTGATCCCATGTGTCCCCAACTGGCTGTGCTGTGCACTGTTATTGATCCCCTGTGTCCCCAGCTGGCGGTGCACTGTTATTGATCCCCTGTGTCCCCAGCTGGCTGTGCACTGTTATTGATCCCCTGTGTCCCCAATACACACCCTGTATGCACTGTTATTGATCCCCTGTGTCCCTCAATATACACCCTGTATGCACTGTTATTGACCCCCTGTGTCCCCAATACACACCCTGTATGCACTGTTATTGACCCCATGTGTCCCCAATACACACCCTGTATGCACTGTTATAGATCACCTGTGCACCCCAATACACACCCTGTATGCACTGTTATTGATCCCCTGTCCCCCCAATACACACCCTGTATTCACTGTTATAAATCCCCTGTCCCCCCCAATACACTCCCTGTATGCACTGTTATTGATCCCCTTTGTCCCCAATACACACCATGTATGCACTGTTATTGATTCCCTGTGTCCTCAATACACACCCTGTATGCACTGTTATTGATCCCGTGCCCCCCAATACACACCATGTATGCACTGTTATTGATCCCCTGTGTCCCCAATACACACCATGTATGCACTGTTATTGATCCCGTGCCCCCCAATACACACCCTGTATGCACTGTTATTGATCCCCTGTGTTCCCAATACACACCCTGTATGCACTGTTATTGATCCCCTGTGTCCCCAGCTGGCTGCTGCACTGTTATTGGATCCCCTGTGTCCCTCAGCTGGATGTGCTGTGTACCTGTTATTGATCCCCTGTGTCTCCCTGAAGCTGGCTGTGCTGTGCACCGTTATTGACCCCTGTGTCCCCAGCTGGGATGTGCTGTGCACCGTTAGCCATCCCCGTGTCCCCAGCTGGCTTCTGTGCCGTGCACGTTGGTTGATCCTTCTGTGTCCCCAGCTGGCTGTGCACTGTTATTGATCCCCTGTGTCCCCAGCTGGCTGTGCTGTGCACTGTTATTGATCCCCTGTGTCCCCAGCTGGATGTGCTGTGCACTGTTATTGATCCCCTGTGTCCCCAGCTGGATGTGCTGTGCACTGTTATTGATCCCCTGTGTCCCCAGCTGGATGTGCTGTGCACTGTTATTGATCCCCTGTGTCCCCAGCTGGCTGTGCTGTGCACTGTTATTGATCCCCTGTGTCCCCAGCTGGCTGTACACTGTTATTGATCCCCTGTGCCCCCAGCTGGCTGTGCACTTTATTGATCCCCTGTGTCCCCAGCTGGCAGTGCTGTGCACTGTTATTGATCCCCTGTGTCCCCAGCTGGCTGTGCTGTGCACTGTTATTGATCCCCTGTGTCCCCAGCTGGCTGTGCTGTGCACTGTTATTAATCCCCTGTGTCCCCAGCTGGCTGTGCTGTGCACTGTTATTGATCCCCTGTGTCCCCAGCTGGCTGTGCACTGTTATTGATCCCCTGTGTCCCCAGCTGGCTGTGTACTGTTATTGATCCCCTGTGTCCCCAGCTGGTTGTGCACTGTTATTGATCCCCTGTGTCCCCAGCTGACTGCTGTGCACTGTTATTGATCCCATGTGTCCCCAGCTGGCTGTGCACTGTTATTGATCCCCTGTGTCCCCAGCTGGCTGTGCTGTGCACTGTTATTGATCCCCTGTGTCCCCAGCTGGCTGTGCTGTGCACTGTTATTGATCCCCTGTGTCCCCAGCTGGATGTGCTGTGCAGTTATTGATCCCCTGTGTCCCCAGCTGGCTGTGCTGTGCACTGTTATTGATCCCCTGTGTCCCCAGCTGGATGTGCTGTGCACTGTTATTGATCCCCTGTGTCCCCAGCTGGCTGTGCTGTGCACTGTTATTGATCCCCTGTGTCCCCAGCTGGCTGTGCTGTGCACTGTTATTGATCCCCTGTGTCCCCAGCTGGATGTGCTGTGCAGTTATTGATCCCCTGTGTCCCCAGCTGGCTGTGCTGTGCACTGTTATTGATCCCCTGTGTCCCCAGCTGGATGTGCTGTGCACTGTTATTGATCCCCTGTGTCCCCAGCTGGATGTGCTGTGCACTGTTATTGATCCCCTGTGTCCCCAGCTGGCTGTGCTGTGCACTGTGTAGAAGTGAAAGCTGGGAGGGAGCAGCATGTGGCCTGGGGCAGCCCTGCCTTGGCTGGAAGGAGCAGCACTCAGGGAGCAGACTGGGCTGGTTTTACAGGAATGAGAGAGGTTGGCCTGAGTGAGCTACACACCCTCCCTTCTTCTGGGATAGTGAGCCTGCAGGCAGCAAACCAAGTGAGTGAGAGGGGTGACACTGAGTGAGAGGGGTCACACTGAGTGAGTGAGAGGGGTGAAACTGAGTGAGTGAGAGGGGTCACACTGAGTAAGTGAGAGGGGTGAAACTGAGTGAGAGGGGTCACACTGAGTAAGTGAGAGGGGTGAAACTGAGTGAGAGGGGTCACACTGAGTGAGTGAGTGAGTGAGTGAGTGAGAGGGGTCACACTGAGTGAGTGAGAGGGGTGAAACTGAGTGAGTGAGAGGGGTCACACTGAGTGAGTGAGTGAGTGAGTGAGAGGGGTCACACTGAGTGAGTGAGAGGGGTGAAACTGAGTGAGAGGGGTCACACTGAGTGAGTGAGTGAGAGGGGTCACACTGAGTGAGTGAGAGGGGTCACACTGAGTGAATGAGTGAGTGAGAGGGGTCACACTGAGTGAGTGAGTGAGAGGGGTCACACTGAGTGAGTGAGAGGGGTGAAACTGAGTGAGTGAGAGGGGTCACACTGAGTGAGTGAGAGGGGTCACACTGAGTGAGTGAGTGAGTGAGTGAGAGGGGTCACACTGAGTGAGTGAGAGGGGTGAAACTGAGTGAGAGGGGTCACACTGAGTGAGTGAGTGAGAGGGGTCACACTGAGTGAGTGAGTGAGAGGGGTCACACTGAGTGAGTGAGAGGGGTGAAACTGAGTGAGAGGGGTCACACTGAGTGAGTGAGTGAGTGAGAGAAGGCTGGATGATGGGAATGGCAGTCGGGCTGGGAGGTTGAGTGAGAGAGAGAAGGCTGGATGATGGGAATGGCAGTCGGACTGGGAATGCAGGGAGGAGCACAGACTGGGAGGGTGAGTGAGTGAGAGAAGGCTGGATGATGGGAATGGCAGTCGGGCTGGGAGGGTGAGTGAGTGAGAGAAGGCTGGATGATGGGAATGGCAGTCGGGCTGGGAATGCAGGGAGGAGCACAGACTGGGAGGATGAGTGAGTGAGAGAAGGCTGGATGATGGGAATGGCAGTCGGGCTGGGAGGGTGAGTGAGAGAGAAAAGGCTGGATGATGGGAATGGCAGTCGGGCTGGGAATGAAGGGAGGAGCACAGACTGGGAGGGTGAGTGAGTGAGAGAGAGCTGGATGATGGGAATGGCAGTCCCGGGCTGCAGGAATGCAGGGAGGAGCACAGACTGGGAGGGTGAGTGAGTGAGAGAAGGCTGGATGATGGGAATGGCAGTCAGGCTGGGAATGCAGGGAGGAGCACAGACTGGGAGGAGTGAGAGTGAGAGAGAAGGCTGGATGATGATAGAATGGCAGTCAGGCTGGAGTGGGGAGGAGCACAGACTGGGAGGGTGAGTGAGAGAAGGCTGGATGATGGGAATGGCAGTCGGGCTGGGAATGCAGGGAGGAGCACAGACTGGGAGGGTGAGTGAGTGAGAGAAGGCTGGATGATGGGAATGGCAGTCGGGCTGGGAATGCAGGGAGGAGCACAGACTGGGAGGGTGAGTGAGGGAGAGAAGGCTGGATGATGGGAATGGCAGTCGGGCTGGGAATGCAGGGAGGAGCACAGACTGGGAGGGTGAGTGAGAGAGAGAAGGCTGGATGATGGGAATGGCAGTCGGGCTGGGAGGGTGAGTGAGTGAGAGAAGGCTGGATGATGGGAATGGCAGTCGGGCTGGGAATGCAGGGAGGAGCACAGACTGGGAGGGTGAGTGAGTGAGAGAAGGCTGGATGATGGGAATGGCAGTCGGGCTGGGAATGCAGGGAGGAGCACAGACTGGGAGGGTGAGTGAGTGAGAGAAGGCTGGATGATGGGAATGGCAGTCGGGCTGGGAGGGTGAGTGAGAGAGAGAAGGCTGGATGATGGGAATGGCAGTCGGGCTGGGAATGCAGGGAGGAGCACAGACTGGGAGGGTGAGTGAGTGAGAGAAGGCTGGATGATGGGAATGGCAGTCGGGCTGGGAATGCAGGGAGGAGCACAGACTGGGAGGGTGAGTGAGAGAGAGAAGGCTGGATGATGGGAATGGCAGTCGGGCTGGGAGGGTGAGTGAGAGAGAGAAGGCTGGATGATGGGAATGTCAGTCGGGCTGGGAATGCAGGGAGGAGCACAGACTGGGAGGGTGAGTGAGCTGCTGGGGGAGGGAGACTGACAGAGGAAACACTCACAGAGACAGCCCACAGGTCAGACACAGAGAGAGAGACAGGCAGCAGAGAGTGAGTTAACCAGACTGTCATTTCATGGTGAGACTCCCTCCTATAACACCCCCCTTACTCTTTATAACACCCCCTTACTCTTTATAACACCCCCTTACTCTGTATAACACCCCCCTTACTCTGTATAACACTCCCTTACTCTTTATAACACCCCCTTACTCTTTATAACACCCCCTTACTCTTTATAACACTCCCTTACTCTGTATAACACCCCCTTACTCTTTATAACACCCCCTTACTCTGTATAACGTCCCCTTACTGTGTATAACACCCCACCTTACTCTGAATAACACTCCCTTACTCTGTATAACACTCCCTTACTCCGTATAACACCCCCCTTACTCCGTATAACGTCCCCTTACTCCGTATAACGTCCCCTTACTCCGTATAACGTCCCCTTACTCCGTATAACGACCCCTTTACTCTGTATAACACCCCCTTACTCTGTATAACGTCCGCTTACTGTGTATAACACTCCTTTACTCTGTATAACGTCCCCCTTACTCTGTATAACATCCCCCTTACTCTGTATAACGTCCCCTTACTCTGTATAACACCCCACCTTACTCTGTATAACACTCCCTTACTCTGTATAACGTCCCCTTACTCTGTATAACGTCCCCTTACTCCGTATAACGTCCCCTTACTCCGTATAACGTCCCCTTACTCCGTATAACGTCCCCTTACTCTGTATAACACTCCCTTACTCTGTATAACACTCCCTTACTCTGTATAACGTCCCCTTACTCCGTATAACGTCCCCTTACTCCGTATAACGTCCCCTTACTCCGCATAACGTCCCCCTTACTCTGCATAACGTCCCCTTACTCCTGCGTCCCCTTACTCTACTAACCTTACTACTCTACATAACACCCCCATACTCACACTGCGTCCCTTACTCACATACGCCCCCTTACTCTGCATACTTGTCCCCTTACTCTGCACTGCGTCCCCTTACTCTGCGTCCCACCTCTGCATAACGTCCCCTTACTCTACATACTTGTCCCCTTACTCTACATAACATCCCCCTTACTCTGCACTGCGTCCCCTTACTCTGCACTGCGTCCCCTTACTCCTGCACTGCTTTACCCTCTGCATGCCCTTCCCTTACTCTGCATAGCGTCCCCTTACTCTGCATAACGTCCCCCTTACTCATAACGTCCCCCTTACTCTGCATAGCGTCCCTACTCACCATGCGTCCCCTTACTCTTGCATAGCGTCCCCCTTACTCTGCATAGCGTCCCCCTTACTCTGCATAGCGTCCCCTTACTCTGCATAGCGTCCCCTTTACTCTGCATAACGTCCACCCTCTGCATAGCGTCCCCTTACTCTGCATAGCGTCCCCCTTACTCTGCACTGCGTCCCACTTACTCTGCATAGTACTTACTGTGCATACCGTCCTTACTCTGCGTCCCCTGCCATGCGTCCCTGCAATGCATAACGTCCCCTTACTGTGCATGCGTCCCCCTTCCTCTGCATAAGTCCCCTTCCTCTGCATAAGTCCCCTCCTCCTTAGCGTCCCTTTACTCTTTTTAAAATACACTTATATACTTAGCATTACCTTACTCTGCATAGCGTCCCCTTACTCATAACGTCCCCTTATACTGCGTCCCTTATATATAGCGCCCCTTACTCTACTACTTGCTTGCTACTCTACATAACGTCCCCTTACTCTGCATAGCGTCCCCCTTACTCTGCATAGCGTCCCCCTTACAGCCCATGCGTCCCCTTACTGTGCATAGCAGCCCTTACTGTGCATAACGCCCCCCTTACTGTGCATAACGTCCCCCTTACTGTGCATAACGTCCCCCTTACTGTGCATAACCTCCTCCTTCCTCTGCATAACCTCCTCCTTCCTCTGCATAACCTCCCCCTTACTCTGTATATTACCCTTATTTAATTTACAATGCCCCCATAAAATGTATAATACAATCCTTACAACAGCTCT